CTGAGTGCTGGGGGTGGGGGGGGGGGGGGAACAGCCCCCTGCCAGCAGGCGCCTTCAGCCTGTGCAGCCGCCTCACAGAGCTTCAGCCATAAAGGCCCTGGGTCTTTAGTGTTCTTCAGTCTCTGAAAGGAGCAGGATGCTGTCAGGCACCGTAAAAATGTGACCTTTGAAAATTTACAAGAGCCGGGGTTTAAAAAGCTGCTGTGTTAATGATGCATCCCATTAGCATCTCATTAAAGGGAAGCTGAGAGAAGCCGGCTCAAGCCCAGTGATGGGCAGATAGGGCCACTCTGCAGAGCTTGTAGGGAAGGCTGTTCTGCCTGGCCTCTCCTGATGAGTACTGCCATATTCCTGAAGCAGAAGCCAGGGCCAGGGAAAGGCAGAAGATCTCGGTCTGGGTGGCTTCCCAGGTGCCCCAGAAAATGACTGTGGGAGGAAGTGAGAAGTGAGAGACCCTGCTTAGCCCACTTCTGCCCTATGGCTGGGAAGCTGGTCTTTCTTATACTGGCAGCCCACCCTGTACCCCAACCCCTGCTCTCCTTCCCTAAGGCAAGTCCTCCCTCAAACTGGGAACAGCCTGGATTGCTCCTAGGGATTCCAGATATGTGGGAATTCAAAACCATGAGAGGGGAGTTCAGAACTACAGACACATACAGGGTCCCAAGGATCTCTAGAATCGGCAGTCTGCATGTGACTGGAGCCTATTTGGAGCCTAGAGCTGTTGGCAGGAGGAAGAGGCCCCTGATCAGGCTTCCTGCCTCACATATATACTGGTCAGTCCATATATGGCTTGCCTGAAAGCCCTAGACATCTCCACAAAGGGCATGCTCCTGCATCTAAGTTGTTTGTGGTCAATCCACATATGACTCATCTGGAAGCCCTGGGCCTCCCAACAAAGGGCATGCTCCTACATCTAAGTTGTTTGTTGACAGATCCAAGAAAAGAATATTCACCTGATTGCTTTAATAAAATTCCTGAGCTGCAAATTGCTTGCAGCTAAAGATGGTGCTAAAGTATAATGGGAGTGGTTTTGTTTATCATTCCTAAAGGGGGCAGGGTAGGGTGGACTTCGGAGTGGCTTTTTCAATTTCAGAAACTGCTTGTACTGATCATGAAAGACACAGCCAAACAGGAGGTCCGGCATCTGGGTAATCTTCCCCATGGCCCTGGATCAGCCTAGGCACACCAGAGCACCCAGCTTCTGTTTGGGGTATATCATCATTTGCACTGTGCACTGGCATTCTCTGCTCCAGCTGAGGGCAAGGCCTACAAAGGGAATCACCTGGGTCCAAATAGCCCATATCACCACTGCCCTGGCCAAGACATAACACAGAACCCAGCCCAATAGTTATTTACCGAAAAAACAAACCAAGGCATAAAGGAGCGACACATTGCATAAGCCTAAGGAATGTGTCAGGGAAATATGTGATTTTTCAAGCTCAGAAACTCCCCTAATTTGGGGGCAAACATTAGAATCCCCAAAGATACATAGAACCTGATGACCCAAACTCAAGGGAAAAAAAAAAAAACAAAACAACAACAACAACGAAAAAGAGTTCCTGGCAGAAGTGGCGGTCTCAAGGTTTGTTTCCAGAAGTCTTCTCTCCCTGGTTAAGTTGCCATGAGGACCCAACAGTGCAGAAATGGTGAAAGGTAGAGCATTCTGAAATCTTAAGCAAAGCTGTTGTTTCCTATCTGAGAAGCCTCTGGGACACGGGCAGCAGAGAGGGGCTGGAGTGCCCCCTCCTGGCAGAAAAGGTTTCCATCTTGTCAGCAAAGAGTCTTGCTGGCAAGGAGGCTAGGGGGCCCCAGCAGTGCTCAAAGGTATCCTCTAACAAGGCTCTTGACTTACCCCTCTCAGATGCCTCTGATTTCAGAAGCCATTTCTGTGCCTCTAACCCCACCATGAGCCTGGAGCCTGGAAATAAAGGGCTGCAATGGCTACATGGCTTCTGATTCCAGATGGGGCACATGTTAAAAGCCACCCCTTCAGAGGACTCAAGAAAAGCCTCCCCCATGTTTCCTATGCCTCATCACCATTGTGGCTATGTCCCAGAACCCCATTTTATATCTCACCACCCCTGCTCAATCTCATCCACGTCACAAGCAGGAATGGGGTCTCGGATCAGAAGACTTGTCCAAGAAACTTCTTTTTTTTTTTTTTTTTCCTTGGGAGACTTGCCCTCCTTTCCATGCCCTGCTCATGGAAGTGGAGCCTCTGAAGCACAGGCCAGAAGTAAAGCGCACCCTAATGGGATTACCTCTGCACTGCCCCAGGTTTCAATGCTGCCTGACTCCTGCTCTCCCAGCAGGCCCTGCTGCACACTCTGTGTGCCAAAGTGTGATGCAAAAGCTCCAGAAGCCCTGCCCAGCCTATTGCCCATACCCGTTGCTATGTGCCTGGCCTAGGAGCCAGGAGAATCACCCTGCCCAAGGGCCCCACAGGGAGCTCCGCCTCCAGCTCTATCATTGGGCCAGGCCCTATGAGAAGATGCTACAAGCATTGTGGCTTTCACCGGAACATGTTTCTGCGAGAGTCCCTGGAGAACAACTTCTGTCCCTCATCCCAGCCTACATGCTTCCCTGGAAAGAACCGGGTTCCCAGGAGCTGTGACGACTCTTCACAAAGTCACCTCCACTGAGATCCTCACTCCTCTGCTCCCAGCTTCTACCATATGTTTAAGATTTATTTTTTACTATTTATAAATAATGGCCATTGTAGAAAACTTGGCATTTGGATGTGGTGATACATGACTGCAATCCTAACACTTTGAAGTGAGAGCTAGGAAGGTCATGAGTTCAAAGTCAGCCTGGAATACAAATCCTTTGAAAAAAAGATCTGGACATGTGGGTCAATGGTAGAACACTTGCAAAACATGTGCAATGCCCTGAGTTTGGTCCTCTGAACCATTTATTTTAATCAGTGCAAAATAATGTAGACAAGAAGTTACCCATAATCCTCTCACCCAGGGATAACATCTTGCTGATATTTGGGTCATTCCCCTCTCACACATGTTGTTCCACCGCAGGATGGTTTGCATAGGGAGGTCACATGGGTGTAATCTTGTGGCCCTGCTTTTCTCATCAACATCGCACTGGGAGCATTTTGCCTTCTCATTATGAACTTCTAGAGAGTATGCTTCCTAGTAGTTCAATGAGGACTGTAGCCTAGGGGGCCACTGTCACTTGACATTTGCTTTCATTCTGAGCATCCTTTTCTTTTTCTTTTTTTCTTTTTTTTTTTTTCAGCTAATCAGAAGGTGAACTCACACAGCAAGCAAGCCCCCTTACTGCTCTTAGGGGCATGGGTTCCTCCTACCTGGGGGCATGACCTGACCTGTCCTATCAGCTTCCATCACCCCCTCCCTTCCTCCATGGGATGCCAGGCAGGGTCTCAACAGCATGTGTAGGAGCAGGATGGAGAAGATGTAGTAGTCCTCGTTTGCCACCTGATGACAGTGTTCTGTAGAGGGAACCTTTTGCCATTTCATTAGGAATTCTCACTCAGTAACTGCAAGTGGAAGTCCTGAGTGGGCACAGTCAATGCTCAGCCCATACCCTGGATAAGTGGGTAGCATTTGGGATACGGTGAGTTATTGACAGTCTGAGGTCTGAGTTGTTCACACACCAGAGTACAGCATGCTCCCATCAGTTGCAGTGGTTCCCCTGGGATAGGCAGCAGCCGTAGAGATGCCTGGTAAGGCATAGGCTTGGAGTCCTAGAGGCCAGGAGCTCATCAGAGGCCAACATCCCATGATCCTTGCTGGAAAGGAAGAAGAGGTCCCAGCATTAGTGGGACTGGGTGCGGTCTCCCTCTCCCTCTCCCTCTCCCTCTCCCTCTCCCTCTCCCTCTCCCTCTTAATATTTCTTCCTTGCTCTCTCTCTCTCTCTCTCTCTCTCTCTCTCTCTCTCTCTCTCTCTCTCTCTCTCTCTCTCCATGAACCAAGTACACAAAGCTCAGGTTCCAAGGATATTGCTGAGGGATGGGTTCCAGGCAGAGTCCTGGGAAAGTTTATGCTCACCATTGTCATCTATTTCCCACAGGCTCCAGGCATCTCCAAAGCCGACAATCAGTCCCAGGGACTCACGACCAGCATTCGATGGGGCCAGACGCCCATCAATCAGTCCACACCCTGGGACACTGATGAGCCACCCTCCAAACAGATGAGGGAGAGCGACAATCCAGGTGCGTGTCCACTCGCTGGATACTCTGCTCTTCTCCAGAGGTCCTGATCCATGAGCCTTCTGCAGCCCAGATATCATCAGGCTTGGGATATGTAGGACCCCAAGCTTCTCAGGTTGAACATCCAGGGAGATTTTGCCTTGCCCACGTTTAGATGAGCACCAGGATGCTCTGGCCCCAGAACTGGGATTTCCTTCTTCCACAGCATCTTGGTCCTCTTGCTGACAACTCTGACCAGAACAAAGGACCTCCCACTGCCCCTAGTGCTCCCCACCCCTGCCAGCCCACTTTGGTACAAATACCCAGAGATATGTCCCCTATAATTCCATGTCTCCTGCCAGCTAGATAAATATACCAAACCCACCAGTCACTCTACCCTAAAGCTTTAATTCTAGTCCCTTCACTTTCTGTGTCCACTCATTCTGTGTTCCTCTAAAGTGCAAAGCCACAACCCAATGCTAGTAGCATCCCACTTAGTGCTTCACCAGTACTCGCCCTTCAGCACTTCCAATTGGTCATTACAGCCCCAGAGCAGAGCTGTTCAGCCCACAGACATCATAGCCTGTCCCAGCAGTAAAACTCAAGTTTGTCACAAGGCCACTTCTTCATGATTGAGCAGCTGGGTTTGGGGACCCAAGAGCAGATCCCTCCACTCTCTCCCAAATGGGGCCATTGTGATCTCAAATGCTGGTTTTTGGGGGTATTTTCTTTTCTTTTTTTGTGCTCTGTTCCCAGTTCCCCCAGAATTGTGCCCTGCATAGTGTATCCCAGTAGCTTCCAAGTCAGTGATTAAAAACAGTGATCAAGGCTTGCGTTGAGTGACCAGAGGCCTCTCTATAGGTCCCCAGACCCTGTCAGGCATTCATCTCATTAAAAAAAAGGAGACTCATCTCCATGGCATAGCATCCAGAGCTGTCTGTGGCCTTGTCAGCCAGGCTCTGACATTTTAATGCATCTTCCCAGGTTCCCTGGCTAGTCCTGAGGAGCACTGAGTTTGGGGCGACAGGCCTTGGCCTTGAGACATCCAGCTGTACTGACTTATGTTGCTATCACCTCCTCTGTTTAGCTTGGACATGGTCCATCACCACTCCACCCCCCCCCACCTCCCGCCAGCAGCCTATTCTAGAATCTAGCCAGCAATACGTTGCCAATGTTTCTTGGCTTGCAGTTTTCCTCTCTCATCGCATGAATCATAAATATTTCCTGCACCTTATTGTGTGCCTTGTTCTGTGTGTGATCTCAAGGCTTGCAGCAGTCCTAGACACTGGTATTATTGGGCCTACTGCAGATGAGGAAACTGACGTGGGAAAAGCATGTGTGTCACTCGTCTGGAACCAGAGTCAGGACTCAGAGCTGGTTCATTCTGACTCCTTGTCCTCCCTCAATGCCCCCTGCTGGTTTGAGTGTCCCTGTGTCATTGAGCTCCTGCCCTCCCTTGTCATCTTATTTCTCAGAGGGAACCCGCAGCCCTTCTAGCCTCCAGGGGCTCCTAGTCTGCTGCTCCCCGTTCTCAGTCTACACCCAAACAAACCCCAGTGGAATCATGGAAACCAAGGTTGGATCAGGACAATGGAGGCCCAAGCCAAGATCCATTAAATCAGAGGTGATCAGACTAGAATTCCCTGTCATTGTATCTTCCAGCTTCCTCACAAGCCATTCTGGGTCACTTCAGTGTCAGTTAAGCTCCAGTTGCTCTGCCTGACCTGGGCGTCACTGGCCTTTTATCATGCATCACATCCTAAGAGGTGTCTGGCCTTCCTTGTTCCCCTAAAATCACCTTAAGAGCCAAACTGGGCTCCTCCTGATTCTAACAGAGCCAGCTGTGTGGAGGGTGTGTGAGACAGGGCCTGGAGTCCCCTCACATCTTCCAGGATTTCCCAGACTCCATCACATCTTTCCAGGTGCCTTGGAAACACCTTGCTGTCACCTGAAACCCCTGCAAACACTGTCCACTGTCAGCCTTCTCCTGCCTCCCTCCTGTCCACCACAACACAACGCATAGGCAACATCCACCACAAAGTCTGGCACACTGTCGGTTTTGTTTTCTCCCTAATATGCTTTCTGCCTTCAGTACTCAGTTCATGTTAATGGATAAAAAGCATGAGGCTTGAAGAACCAAAGCAACTTACCAGGGCCCTTAACTCATAGGTATAAGGGCTGAAATGAACATAGGTCTCTTTGAAGGCCTCCGATTATTCTCTCTCTGCTTTGTTGTGTCTCATTTCTCCCAAACAGATTTCTTCCTTCTCTGGATCCCCACAGTTATTTGTCATTTGTTCGTATCCTCTATAACACCTAGTCCTAGAACAATTTTTTTTTTTGAGACAAAGTCTTGATATGTAGCCTTGGTTGGCCTGGAACTCACTGTGTAAAACAGGCTAACCTCAAACTAGTGGCGATCCGCTTGCCTCTTCCTCCCCTCCAGAGTGCTGGGGTTAAAGGCCGAGTGCTTGGACACAAATGTCTTATCCACTGTTGTTGCTCCAGGTCCCAGCCCAAAGCCTGGGATAGTTGGTATTTGCTGAATGAATATGTAACTGGCAAAGTAACATTTCTTCCATCTCCCTTACAGGCACAGGGCCATGGGTGACCACGGTGGCCGCCGGGAACCAGCCTTCCCTGATTGCACACTCCTATGGAGTGGCCCAGCCTCCCACCTTCAGCCCAGCTGTGAACGTCCAGGCCCCAGTCATTGGGGTGACTCCCTCACTGCCTCCCCATGTGGGGCCCCAGCTCCCGCTGATGCCAGGCCACTACTCACTCCCACAGCCGCCCTCTCAACCACTGAGCAGTGTGGTGGTGAACATGCCTGCCCAGGCCCTGTATGCCAGCCCTCAGCCCCTGGCGGTATCCACTTTGCCTGGAGTGGGACAGGTAGCCCGCCCGGGACCCACTGCTGTGGGCAACGGCCATATGGCAGGGCCCCTGATGCCTCCACCTCCGCCAGCCCAGCCATCTGCTGCTCTCCCCAGCAGTGCTCCTGCCACCAATGGGCCCCCCACAACAGACTCGGCCCATGGGCTACAAATGCTACGGACCATTGGAGTGGGGAAGTATGAATTCACCGACCCAGGGCACCCTAAAGGTAAGTCCTGTCACACACCGCACTGTGTGCCTGGTCACTCCAACAGTGAGGACAGAAGTGTGTTTATGGTAGCTCTTTCATTGACCTCATCTAGCCAGAAGCTGTGGCAGAAACTCCCTCTTTAGGTGGGGGACCCAGACAGAGCCCTGGTGTAGAGGTTGTGAGACAAGCAACAGCAGGATTCATAGAGCAAGAAAAAAAAAAAGGTGGCGAGGGGAGCCTGAAAGTCCAGAGCCCAGGCCATGCTCACCCTAAACCAGACCAATGCTAGATGGAACAAGAGCTACCTACCACTCTTAATGGTCACTTAAACAGTCCATGGAGGCCTTTACCATTTTCCATCCATAAAGACATTCAAAGCACTATCTGCCTGTGCCTGTCAAGACAAGTCTTCACCAAGTAAGAGCTGGACCAGGATCCAGGCACACCCCTACCATCCTGAGAAACTTAAGGTTTCCATTTTTGAAGGGCTGTGAGTCCCTGGGAAGAACAGCTCTGGGCTGGCCTTCAGGGGACCCTTGACCCAAGACCCCCGCTCTAGGGGAGTTTCCTTGCAAAGAGCTCAAAGGTAGTTCCTTGGGAACAGAAGCTGGGGAAGGAACACACCACTGCACACCAACATGGTTCTTAGTACAAGTCACAGCCTCAGCATCAGGGCACAGGACATTAAAGGTAGGTTCTAGTCCCAGTGTTTGGGGAGACAGCAGGGCCAGGGCCGGGAAGGGAAGCTTTGAGAGTGCCTGTCTTAGATTTCCCTTTCCTTGATGCAGGGACATTACCAGACAGCTCAGGTCCTGATCCTGCAATGTGCAGAGGGAAGGTTATGAGGCCTCCATCGGGCTAGGCAGCTCCTGGGCCAGGAGGAGACAAGAGGATCTCTGCAGAGCACTTTAGCCTGCTAGGGTACCCATGCCTCCTTAACAGGGCCAGTAGGTGGTGCTAGATAGTATACCACATCTAGCCATGGCTTTTCCTCTGAACCCCTGAAAGTCCATCTGGGGCCCCAACCTCTTTGCAGGGCAATGCTGCAGTTAGTCACTCTCTGTCCACTGTTCTCCAGACATTTGTCACTGTCCTTCTGAGCCATTCTCCAGTCTTTCTGAAAAACCCTAACCACAAAGCCGGTACCTGGCTCCCTGTGGGGTTTCATTCCGAACTGTGTGAGCTCCAACGGCCTTTGTTTGGGAAATCAGCACTAGTTTTAAATGACAAAATTATAGAAAATTACATCTGAAATCTGGTAAACTCTTGCTCTGTTTAAAATTTATTTTTTATATAGAGAGAGACTAAATTGATTTCTTCTTTGAACTATTTTGATTTAGTAACCCCTCTCTTTAAAAAAAAAAGAAAAGAAAAAGAAACTGCTCCAAAAGAATAAGCACACACACACACACACACACACACACACACACACACACACACACACACACACACACAGGAGAGAGAGAGAGAGAGAGAGAGAGAGAGAGAGCACTGTAGGATCCCAGCTGTCCAAGGCTATCCCAAAGCTAGAAGCACTAGACAGGGAGAGGCCTGTTAAGTTCTCTCTGGCTTTTTAAGTTCCAGACATATATTCATATAGAGAGAGAAAAGAAACTGTACAGAAGGGAACCAGCTTAGCTGGCCCTAGAGTTTCCTGGTCTAGGGCTGGACACTGAGCTAGAATCCATCTCTCTGAACATTGCTAGAAACGGGCTTTCCCTGAACACCCTTGAGGTGGGGTAACACAGGCTGGTAAGGTAGCACTGCTGAGCCTACTTGGTCATTGAACTATGCGGAGCTGCTCTTGGGACAATTGCGGAAGGCCAAGGAGTATGGCCAGACCTCTGTGGCCCCAGCCTCACAGGGCCATTGTGGCCCCATGCCATTCATTATACCAAGTCCCATGGGGTAGACTGGGTCTGGGTGAGAGGCAGTAAGCAAAACCCCAAAAGTATCTCTTGCATCTTCTGGGGAGCCTTTGGGGCCTTGCAGCTCTGGCCAGTGACCGTGGGTGACCTGTCCACACTCTGCTTTCCATTGGTTTCCGTCAGACCAACTGTTTGCCCATATTCATTCACATATCTACACAGATATAGCCCTTGCTGGCCGGCAGATCCCCCTTGTATTTGTGAAGGAAGACAAGGGACAGTACGAGAACGAAAGCCTAAGGCTGGAGCCTGAGTGGGTTTTTATTTTTTAGGTAAATTCTCCTTTTACTACTAATCTTAAAAGCCTTTATTGCTGAAGCTATAATTTATCTGTCAGGTCTACTGTCAAACATCTACATTTAGGGGGAAAAAAATAAGAAATCCAAATTTTGAAACCAAATCTTTGCAACTTGCCATGGGAGAGTCATCATCGTGACGGCGCCACATGGGTTCGGATTTGGGTCACTTTTAATTTTGCCCCTAGGGATTTTACATCCCTGAAACTCAATTGATTTCACACTCCTAAATGACAGACAGCTGGCTCCGGGCGGGAACAGGACGCCACATAATGTTACCAACACAAATCAGAACTCTGCTTTAAAAAACCAAAAAAGGGGAATGAAGAAAAAGAAAAGAAGAATTTCCTTTCTCTGCTAGTGTCTGTTTGAAACCTTGCCCAGCATTATAATAAGATCCACCATGCACGATCTAGCTCATTACAATCCTATGATTTTTTTTTTTTTGCCTTACTATTGTTTGATGAGACAACCTGGCCTCTCATGGGGTTGAGTAATTATGCAGAGAGATCCCCCTCCACGAAGAACAGGTCTTGCCAGCCTGAGGGATGGGCCACTGGTATTTTTAGACTTCATTAGTGCCCTGATTTAAAATTTCACATTTTGTTTCTTGTAATTATCTTCCGATCGACTGAGCGAAATTTTCAGTCGAGGTTCTATTAGTCCGCCTTCCCAAAAAGGGCTTTGGGACTTTAATTTAAAACTTAACCAATTGAAAAAGAGAGGTGGTGTGCAAAATGCCTTTTGATTTGCTGTAGGTCAAGCGATTGTCTCTCATCTGTGACTAGAGAAGCCAGCATGCCTGCGCTTTGCTTTAATGAGTGTTATTTAAATGCATTGAGCACATATAGATTTTCTTAAGAAACTTACAAGATAAATCTTTCTTTCTCAAAGAACAATTTGAGGGTGGGAGTAAGCTGTGGAATTTTTTTTAGATTATATATTGAAAGGTAATTAAAAATAGATTTCATGTGTGCAAAGTGATAAGGGAGGAAAACGGAATTAGTTCCATCTGAATCTTTATAAAAGACCTGGTGTCTTAGTCTTGTCATTAGATGGGCACAGACCCTGGGCTGATCCTCTGGGAGAAATACAGCCAAACTCAGGCCTATGTGGAAACCTCAGGTCTAATGACCCTGTTCCTAGAGATCACTGGGAGGTCACAGCCAAGGTGCAGGCTGGGGCATGGTGATTTCTGCTTTCATCAGGGATTGTTGGTGGCTTAGACCAAGACTGGGAGCCTCTAAAATCCACAGACCCTGGTCCCAGAGGCTGTCTTATTTTCTACCTGGGTGTCTGGGGAGAAACAAGCTAACAGCACCTGCTCCCTCTCTTCCAGAAGAGGGACATATCTGTTCTTGTATAGATACTGTCATGGGTATGATGTAGGGGCCATGATGAGCCCCGTCTGCAGAGTTTGGCTTCTCTGCCCCAGGACCAAGGAGCTACGTGACGCATGAATTGTCCCACCCCTTTCTGTGGCTACAGTTTCTGTCCTCCCTTGCAACTGCATCCTGCATGAGCCATGGCTACTCCAACTCTAGCAGCAGCAAAGACAGTCTCTTAGGAAATGCTGAGGTGTGTGGGGATAGCTTTGTGACCAGAGGAATGGATGGTATGTGAGTGTCGTGGTTCTTGCCTGTCATCCCAGCAATCGGGGTGACTGAGGCAGGAAAACTGCCATGAGCTACATTATGGGATCCATTATATATATATATATTATACAAAATGAGAATAATTATACTACCCCCGGGAGTCCAGGAGAAGGCCGAATGGGAATTATGAGCATCCTTCACCCTTGCCTGCTCACTACACTGACATCTAGCCCAGCACCCTGTCCAGGGAGTTTAGCAGCTGGGCAGTCCTATCCAGTGATCACAAGGTCCACAGCCCTATGGCCAAGCCACTTTCTGCAAGATGGCTTGAGTTACTTTCTGGCAGAGGATGGGAGACTCTTCTCCCAGACATGGGGCTAAGGCATATTGCCCCACACACCAAGACCAGTCCAGAATACACCGTTCTCTCTGCAACCTCATAAATACTCTGGAATGTCTGAGATGCAGGAGGAAGCTATTTGTCCACACGCTGCCCATGCTACAATAACCCTCACTCAGGCCAGACCTCTCTGTGGCAGTAGCCCAGAAATGTCACCCTGAGTCTATCCAGGGTTCAAACTTGTCCTTTACTGGCCCAAGGTATGTCCTTTGAGCACAAATTCCAAAATGAGGCCAGGGTGATCTTTTCAAAACGCAGGCTTTGTCCTGCCATACCTCCTTCAAATGTCTCCAAAGGTCCCAGTTGCTCTGGTGTCTGGTGGTCACCCTCGATGTGGTCCTGGCACCCACTTGCCTCTCACTTCCTCCTTTGCAGTTCTGTGCACAGGCTGCCTTGTAGCCACTCTACATCCTGAGTTCTCGGGCTCTGCCTATTTGAGTCATGTTCCATGTTTTGACTCATTCTCCTTCCCTCCTCAAACAGACTGTGAGCTCTCAAGGTGGGATAAAGACTTCACTGGAACCCCATTCTAGCCTAAGAGCTAAAATGGCCCTCCACATCAAGAGTTATGTGGAGTGTATGATGGATAAAAGCACAAAGCAGGGGCTCCCCCCCCTCTATCTCTCAGCAAAAGCAGTCAGTAATCTCAGGCACGCAGGTATGTAAAAAACTCTCAGGAAGTCATTCTGCAGTCCCTACACCTGTCCTACACTAAATGTCTGTCCCTTGAGACTTCTTCATCTTCCCAGGTACCTCCATACAATATCTGCCCCAGAGCATAATGGGATCTAAAGTTCTA